TTCAGGATTTTTCAGTTAAAGGCGCAAGCTTTTAAAATCACTAAAATTCCTTCTGGCATAAAAAAAAGGCAAAACTACAATGTTAACTTCCCAACTTTTTTTGAGCCTATTGAAACTACGCAGCTTCAATCAGGCATTTAATTGCATTCTTCCAAATATTGCGTGATTATCACAAAGTTAATTGCTTTGCTGTCCTCTCTTCTATTCGTCGCCTAAATCACTTAGTTTTCCCTCTGGACTTATATCCTTACTAACACTGCTCACGTTGTACCGTACTCCAAGAATTACACATGAAACTAAAGAATTGAAATAAAAAACAGACCCACAAAGCGAGGATATTTTTACATGCGCGTAAACTAAACGATAAAGAATTCCACGTAATATTTGAAGAACCAATGCAGCCTCGTGCACCACGAACTTTCAAATTTCTGACTTTGTGTAAGAATTCCACATAATTTGCAACATCCGCTTTTCCATCACCTATAGTTTGTGCAAATTAAATTTGCAGCCACATGTTGAAATGAAGCAAGTTTGTGCAACCAGCTGCAACTACGTAAAAAAAGGATACCATTTGTGGTTGGCTCAGCCAACTTCATTCGCTCCGTTATTGCATAAAGTTCCATTGGTGTAAATTCGAAATACTTTGGCTTCTTCACAGCTGACTGCAGCCATTTATCACCAGTTGTTCCTAATCTCAACGAAAGGTCCTCAACAACTCCGTGTACTTCCTGAAAACAATACTCGACAATAAATATACCGCTACTAGCACAAAGATGCAAAATTGAAAATTTGCAAAAAGTCGTAATCAGATGAGCTCAAGATATGCGCCCGACTTCGGCAGCGAATGCATAATTTTGAAGAACAAACAATTTTGCAGATCAGGATAATGTCTTACATTATTCAAATGAGGCTACGTGTATAGTAGCTGTAGGTATAACAGCCTTATATCAAGCTGAAGCAACCAAAGAAGAGAACTCACTATTCGGGCTGATTATTGGTTAAAAATTCAAGAAACAGTTTTTGAAACTTTGAAATTGGAAAGTCAAAATTTCAAGGAAGAAAGCAAGGGAATTTGGCACCTAAAAGTAATCAAAGTAAGAATGAATTAAACCCAAGCTGGAATG